AAACATCCTGAGTTCGTTAATCCAGACAGAAAGACAAGCACAGTATGTATTCACTCATGAGTGGGTATTATATGTAAAGGAAAAGATAACCAGACTACAGTCCACAACCCCAGAGAAGCTAGGTAAAAAGGTGGACCCTAGAGGGACACACATGGAGGGCCCCAGAAAGGAAAAATAGTTAAGATCTCCTGGGTAAACATGGAGGGGTTAGAAGGGCGGTGATGTTGGATGGAAATATCAGGGATCAAGAAGACCAAGTAGTGGGGGAACACAGGAGGAAAGCAATGAAAGAGATATCTTAATAGAGGGAGGCTTTATGGGGTTAGAGAGAAACAGGGTGCTGGGGAAATTTCTAGGAATCCAGAAGGGTGACTCCCAGCTAAGACTCCTCGCAATATTGAAGAGGGTTTCTGAACAGGCCTTTCCCTTAAACCAGATTAGTAACTACCCTAATTGTCATCATAGAGTCTACATCCAGTAACTGATGGAAAAAGTTGCAATGATCCACAGTCAAGCAGGGGGCAGAGTTCCTGGAGTTCTGCTGAAGACAGGGTGGAGGGATCATATGAACAAGGGAAGTCAAGAGCATCATGGGGAAAACCACAGGGACAGCTGACCAGAGCTAGTGGGAGCTCATGGACTATGAAACTATGGATTGACAGCTGGGGAACCTTCTTGGGACAGAACTAGACCTTCTGAATATGGGTGACAGTTACTTGATTGATCTGTTAGGGTGGGACTGGCAATGGCACTAGGACCTATCCCAGGTGCATAAACTGGCTATTTGGAGCCCATTCCCTATGGTGGGATGACATGTTCCATCTTGATAGAGCAGGGAGGGGCATGGTAGGCAAACATAGTAGGCCAGACTTGCTGATTCCCCAAAGTAGGTCTTACCCCCTCAGAAGAGTGTACAAGGGTGGGAGGGAAAGGGAAGATACATGGAGGTAGGAGAGGGGAGGGAGGGAGTACTAGGGTTGGTTAAGTTAAATGAAAAATAAATTTTTTAAGTAAACAACAGAAACAAAATGCCTTAGGCATCTGTGAGTTCTCAGAAATCTGGAGGCCGAGGAAGACAGATCTCTGTGAATTAGAGGCCAGATTAATCGACATAGCAATTTCTAGGATAGCCCCAGCTGTGTATAGAGAGACTGTATAAAAAATTGTTCGGGGATAGAAAATGCCATAGAGACAGTCCTATAGACAATCTGATGGAGGATTTTCTTAAGTGATGTTCCCATCTCCAGATGACCATAGCTTGTGTCAAGTTCATGTCAAGGCGCACAGCTGCTTAGAGACCAGGTTTGTTTTAGTGACTGCTTAGTAACATTTTGTGTGTGGGTTTACCACTGAGCTGGTGAGATTCAAATTCATTTAGAGCACTGGCTGCTTTTCCACAAGAACCAAGTACAGTTCCCAGAACCCATATGGAAGATCTCAATTATCTATTTTTCTATTCCTAGGGAAAACTAAACCATTTTATGGACTCCTCTGTGTGGACGGAATACAAATTCTACACAGACATCAGTGCAAAGAGCCATTAAATAAATAAATATAATTTAAAAGGAAGTACAACAGTCTTTTTGAGCTCTTTGCACATCTTTGAAAACCCAACTGTCCAATGGATGGCTTATAGCAGGAGGGTAGTTAGCTTTTCTAAGATTGTCCCTGGTTTTAGGATGGCTACACACATGAGTATAAAAACATCACACACTGGACTCTGCAATTAAAAGAGTAAAATAAAAGAAGACATGAAGTTAAAAGAAGGTGGGGTACCTTGGAGGAGTTGAGAAGGAATAGGAATAAGATCAAGATTCATTGCATGCTTGAGTGAAATTCTCAAAGAATTAATAAGAATAGTATATGGAAAAATAGTAATCTAAACAAAGAATGAGACTCCAACATGATGTTATGGATAAATTGTCTTCATTCACTGCCTGTCACCATGTTGGCAACTCCTCTGTAAGTCATGGTGCTGACTACTCATCACAGGTGAGCACAGGTGATTCAGAGCTGTGGTTGGCTGTGGAATGAGAAACCTTATGGGCAGAGCCCATGGTTCTTCTCAGATGGGCTCAGTTTCCCCTGTGAGGGGCACCTACCTCACACAAATCTCCAGGAGCTCAAGGGAACACTGGGCTCACCCTTTAGCCATCTTTGTTGTAAATGAAGTGTCTGGAAGTGGTCAAACACAGACTTTTCAAATAACAGATTTGAGGTAGGAGGGACCTGAATGAACCTAACCCACTGGTGATGATACTCTGATGACACGTTTCTGCCACCTTCAGGAATTCTAGGTAGAGAAACAAAACTGAATAACTCAAAACCAACTGATAGATGAATACTACTGAGGGATGAGCCAGAGTTATGGAGGGCTGGTTTGGCAATTTCTGAGCTGACTGAATCTTTCAACATATGTCAGTGTTTTCTAGGCCTAGAGAGTCTCACAAAGACAAGAAGAAAGAGATGAAAGATGTGGGAACCATGTGGGAACCATTTTACTATCCACTTTCTAGAAGGGGAAAGAACCCTAACCCTCTTCTTTGATATCTAGAGGATGTCCTGAACTGATTCTACAGACCAGGCTGGCCTGGAACTCACTGAGATCCACCTGCCTCTGACTCCCAAATGTTCGGACTAATGGTGTGCACAGCTACCACCTGGCTCATTCTGATCCTGAAGCCAGAAGACACACATTTAATTAGGCAACGCTTTCTTTTGAAAGCTTATGAATGACACTGAAGAAGGAAGCTGTTGTTCTCTGCTTGTTTGCCCTCACTTTGCAGCAAGCCAATTTCTTCAGTGGAATTAGAGAAACTTCTTGGGGATTGCAGCAGATACTGAAGACCAGGTGACAGGTCAAATCTCCTTGACTAAGTACTGAATCCTTGAAATTTTACTTCACAGGTACACATTGTGGGATTAGCAGGGCTGCAGACATAAGTCTTTCTAATGAGTCTCCCTCATATATAGATTATTTTATATGTTATGTTACTCTAAAGAAACCTAGTACATTTTATATGAGTGTATAAAATGTCCCAAA